TTCCTCCTCGTGACGTCCTCCTCCCCGTCCCCGTCCTCCTCCCCGTCCTCTTCCTCCTCCCCTCCTCGTCCCGAGGTGAAGAACCTCCTCGTCCTCCGCCCCCTGCAGGAGGAGGAGCAGGAGAAGGCTGCGATGAGGGGGGGGGAGAGGAGGACGAGCAGGACGCGGAGGCGGACGACGACGACGACCACGACAACGACCGCGACGACGAAGCACACAACGACGGCGGCTACGACCACGACGGCCAACACCACCTCGACGACCACGACGACGACGACGACCGCGGTTATAGCCGCGACCACATCGACGACGGCGACGAAGACGACCAAAAAACCACGATGATGACTACGCCGGCGACGAGAAGCGCAGCGACGACGACGGCCAAGACGGCGACGAGCACAGCGAAGGTGGGCACACCACCAGGACGACGACGGCCGCGATCACGGCGACGACCACCACCACGAACGCGGCGACGGCCACGACCACACACGACGACCACGACCACGACCCCCTCGGCAACAGGACCGGCGGCAAGGGCCGTGGCGGCCATCGGCGCAGGGCGCAGAGGCAATCTGCGCCGAAGCCTCCCCCCACCCCTGCTGGCATGGAAGACATGGGCGGCGAAAGGAGCAGGAGGGGGAGGAGGAGGAGGAGGAGGAGGAGGAGGAGGAGGAGGAGGAGGAGGAAGAAGAAGAAACGGGTCTTAAGTACGCGGTAGCTTACGATGGGGCCGCCAGCGCGGCACGCGACCTTGGAAACGAGGGCGCCTGCGCGCGACCTCGCGCGGGCAGCCTACGCGCCAGGGTCGGCACAGTCGGCACCGCCGTCTTCATGGAATCGCTCGAGCGGGTCCTGGATCCCAGGGCCGTACCCCAGGACCAGCTCTCCATCCTGGTTTCTTCTCTTGAGGCCACCCGTTCCTGAGGAGGGGGCTCCGATGGTCCGAAAGCGGCGAACAACCTCGAGACTCTCTTCCCCCAGGACCCCTATCCCTTCGTGGTTCCTCTGGCGGCTTTCGGGTCACCGCTCGTGTCTTCCCGGCGGCCCCTCGGAACGGCTCGGGGGGACCCCGCAGAACGCTCTCGGCGAGGCGCAACTGCTGGAATGTATACCCCCGGGGTTGGACAATCCGTCGACCCTCTCGGCGTGTGTGAGGGGTTTGTCTGTTAGGGAGCCCACAAAGGACGTACGCGCCCAACTATGTACATGAACACGGCCCCTCGATCCGCGAGACTGGCCGCATGATACGAACATTCGCGCAATGCGGATTCTCGTTTCTGATCTGGTCGAGTCTTCTTCGAGTTGTCGTCTCCGTCAGTCGTTGTCTCCGGCGTCCACCTTCCCTGCGCCCTCCTCCTTGTCCTCAGGCCTGTCAGCGCGAAAGAAAGATCTAGCAATGTGTCGTAATCGAGTCGAAGGGAAATCCCTTCCCTTTGATCCCTCCCCATTTGGAGGGGAGAGAAGTTCCCGGGAAGGGGTCCCAGGGGGGGGGTCTCGGGGGGGGTCCCAGGGGGGGTCCCCAGAGCGGGGTCCCAGGGGGGGTCGGGGGCTCAGAAAGAACCAAGACAGGCCAAGAGTGACTCGAAAGGAGGCTTCCCGGGGGGGTCCCAGGGGGGAAGTCAGATTCGCACCCCAACTGGGGCCTCAGGAGGCTCCTGAGCCCGACGCTGTCCGAGAGAGCCTCCAATCGCCAATCGATCGGTCCAAAACACCCTCACGCCCTCCAGACTGCCCAGGAAGCCTCCAAAACGTCCTAAGAGGCCTCCAAGAGCACTCCCGAGAAGGACCCCACGAGGCAAAACTCAGTGATTTCTTCTTGGTCTGTTCAGGATGTGGGCGTCCTCGCCTTTTTCGCTCCCCGCCGCTGCAAGACGGCTCCCCCTCCAGCCCCTCCTCCTCGTCCCTCCTCCTCCTCCTCCTCCTCTCTCTCCTCGTCTCCTACTCCTCCTCCTCCTCTCCTTTTTTTTTTTCCTCCTACTCTTCCTCGTCCTCCTCCCCCCATCCCCCTCTCCTCCTACTCCTCCTCTCCTCCTCCTTCCTACGCCTCATAACTCCTCTTTCCATCTATTCTTATTCTTCCGTATAGAATATACTTTCTGTACTCCCCCCCCGGGCGGCCAGCTAGCAGATAGGCAGTCAGAGGCCAGATAGGGGCCCCCCCCCCCATCCCCCATTGGGGTGTTAGGGTCATGGTTTGGTTTTTTCCCCCATCCTAACCTGTAAAAAACCATACAAAATCAACATTTTTCTTATTTTTTCCTCTCGACATGGACGTCCTGTCGTCCACGGCGATAATCCATTGCAAAAAATACCACAAAGAACACACGCGCGCGTTCATGTCAGAATCATACCGAACACGTGTTTGTGTTTTTCTGCAAGCATTTTCAACATGTTGATAAAACATTCAAATCACCCAATTTTTTTTTCACAACAAAATGCTTAGCACATTTCCTGAGCCCGGGGCTCTCTGCTGAAATCATAGGAAAACAAAGGGACAATCTTCAAGAATTTTCGGTTCTACAATCCCTATGCGATTTCACGTCACGCGCGGGCACTTCGCGATGCTCTTCGTCCATGTCACCCATGGCCGCGAAATTGCCTTCACGGTGCAAAAAATACCACGCGGGAGACCATCGGCGCGCGTGGCCCGCGAGGAGCCGCTAGCTCAAATCCTTTAGGTAGTCGTCGCGAGTCATTGCCACCCGTCGTCGCATGGACGGTCTTCGCTTCCACGTTCGCCAAATGCATGGCAGGAATGGGACCGGCTTTGCCGGGGCGGTTTCTCGACACGGCCACCTCGGGCTTCCTGCGGTGTACCGGGCCATTCTCGACTCGTCTGGCAATGCGTGCGCGGCATTCAACACGCGCTCGCCAGTTTCCCGTCGGCAACCGCCATCGCGGCCGCATCAGCTGTACCAAACCGGCTGGCCGGTGTGACTTCGGCCCCCAGTTGTGCCAGCTTTGCTTCTTATGTTGTGGGAGGGCGGGTGGGACTGGGCATGCCATGCTTGACTCGCTCGAGCTGGCTAGCTTGACTCCTACTACCTTTACGTCATATATACTACTCAGACTCCTACTCCTAGCGCCTACTCCTACTACTTCGGAGGCTCCCTGACTTACTCCTCCACAACGATCCTCCTTTTCTGGTTGTTTTTTTCTCCTCCCCCCCAAGAGGGCCCAACAACGGTTCAAAGAACGGCCCAGGGAGGATCCCAAGTGGGGAGTGGGGGGGCGGCTCCAAAGCCCTTTCCTTTGTTCGGGAAGGGGGGGCTATGCAAGGGGGGGGGTTTTGAGCTCTCGCCTCCCCGAGGCTCACAGGGGCCCCGAGAGATTCAAAAGAGGCGCCGCAGAGGGCAAAAATCAGAGATCCCATAGGAAGCCCTCGAATGGTGCCGGAAGAGGTTCCAAGAGGTTTACCATAAGATGGTTCCAGTCGGCTCCCAAGAGACTCTAGCCAAGAGGCCCCAGAATTCCTCCCCAGAGACCCCCGAAAGCTTTCCGAAGAGACCCTAAGCAACATGCGTCTGGCCCACGTCGACGTCGTCGTCGCCGCCGCCGTCGTAGTCGTCGTCCCCCTGAAGGATCGGCGGCACCGGCCGCAAGGCCTTCACAATAGCTAAGAGCCGACGAAGGCTTCCGAACATCTCTAACCCCGAATTTTCCCAGACACCCTCTGATATGTTTTCCCATGTGTGGCCGAAGACATCCCCACCCCTTCTGGAAGGATGCTTTTTCGTCCCAGACCTGTTTTTGATATCCCTGCGGCCCTCTAAAGGGCCTCTGCGGCCTCTAAAGGGCCCTCTAAAGGGCCCTGGAGGCCGAGATCAAGAAAAAGACGCCCAGATTGAAAACACATATCGTCGGAAATCTGGGGAGAGGTGCCTCCCTGACTTCGGATCCGCCCTACTCTGGGCGATGTTTCGCAAGTTCGGCGGAGATTCCCGCCCTACGCTTCAGGCTCCTTCGACGTCGATGTCCGCCCCACATTGCCGTCGTTGTGTCCGCAATGCCTCTGCGAAACTATCCGCGCTATTCGTAAGTCGGGCCTGTCCTCCTACAGGGGGCTTTTGGACGGAAAGTTCAAAACAGTAAACACATGCCCCAGCATTGTCAAAACATACTAAGAAGAAGTCGTCCCCAGACTATTGTTTCACTATGTTTGTGGCTTTTCCTCATGTAGAGGGACAGGCCCGACTCAACGCTACTCCTCGGGGGCAGGGACTTCCGCCCTACTTCTTCAGGGGAACAAGAAGTGGCATAAACATAAAAACTCGGAGGTCCGCGCGGATTTCTCGGATCGGCGCTGGACCCCCCTCCCTGGCGCGCGGAGCGCGGCAGGGGCGGCGCCAGAGGCGCCGCCGGGGGGCCCCAGCGCCGAGGCGCGAAATCCGCGCGGACCTCCGAGTTTTTATGTTTATGCCACTCTTTGTTCCCCTACTTCTCCGCGCCGTGTGGGGTGAAGCCCCGACGCACGCTCGCGGTTGGAAACGCCGGCTCCGCGTATCGTGGCGGCGGCCCTGGCGACACGCTGTGCCCTGCGAGCGTGAGCGGCCGGCGTGTCCGCTGCTCGGAACTCGCAGCGCTGAGGCCTCGGGACTGAGAGGACCCGGAAGGCGCGCCGCGCCGAGGCGCAGATTGAGCAGGGACCGACTGTCCAGGCAGTCCTATAGTCTATAGTCCTACCACGAAATGTTCTTAGAACCCAAAAATGTTGTAAGAACATAAACAAGGTTCTCAGAACATTAACCCGATGTGTTAACACAAGGCAGTCCCAGCCAGAAATGATCGAAGAACATTTCGTAGAAACCACAAACAGTTCTTAGAACATTGCTTGGTAGGGCTATAGGCGAGCCGGGACGCTTCGCCACTGCCTGAGCAGAGGGCCAGACTCGGCGGAGCGACAGGCTCTAGGCTAGAGGCCGGCGTCCCGGACCGCAAAAGTCGGAAACTCCACCCGAGCACAGCGCGCAGCAGGAGCTCGTGGCGCGGCCGCTGGCGGCCTGCGGTGCAGCGGCGCCACCGGCGGCGCGGAGTCCGACCTGCGCCCGGCCCCGGCGCGCCAAAAGGAAACACCGCCCGCCGCTGGCCGCCCACCGCCGCCGGCCGCAACGCCGGCCGCCGCCAGTCGTCGCCGTGGTCGCCGCCGCGGCCGCCGTCCCTAGAGGCCTCCTGGATGGGGTGCGAGTGGATGGGCTCGGAGCATGGCGCCGCATCACCACCGCCTCGTCGCTGTACCGGCGATGCCTTGGCGATGCATCGGCGACGTCGGTGGTGCGTCGGCGACGTCGGCGCGGGGAAATTACGCGGTCTCCACATTGAGCCGCATCGCCGATGCATCGGCCATGCGGCGCGATCCTCGGACCCCATCTACTCGGATCCCATCCAGGAGGCCTAGACTTCTCAGATCACCGCCGGCATGCCTTGTTTCAATCCGTGCGCACCTCCTCGACCTCGGCCTCTAGGGCCCGCTATGATCGGGCCCCGAGAAGCCCGAGACCATCCAAAACGCACCCGGGGCGCGAACCTGCCCCCGGGGAAGGGGTCGGGACCTCTGGGGCCGCAGGGCGAGCAGCCTCACTGAAGGGGCCCAGGGACGCACCGATCAACAGACACGAGTACAACGCTTCCCCACGTTCTCTCCCAGATTTTCGGGGTGCTCGTCTTCCCCCCACTTCCCATATGTTCCCACATCTTTTCCTGGGAGCCGACGATTCATGGTGTCTGTGTGTGTGTGCGTGTGTTTCTGTGTCTGCGTGTGCTTCTTTCCCTCCTGCTTCACTGGCGCCTGCGGCCCGAGCCGCAGGGCAGTGCGGCGCCGGGGCGGCGCGCCAGGCGCCGAGGGCCTGGCGACGGCCAGCGCGGCGCATGGTCGTGGACCCGGAGAGGCTCGCCGGCGGGCGGGGGTCCTGGGCACACCGCCGGAGGTGCAGGACCCCGAGGGCACCACAGGAGGTGGTGGAGGTGCTACGAGGCGCTGGAGGTGCAGGACCGCCGGAGGTGCTGGAGGCGCAGGAGGTGCGGGCACGGGACCCTGGGCGCAGCGCTGCAGGTGCCGGGTCCCCTGCGGCCCGCGCGCGCCGACGGCGCGCGCGGTGGGAGGGCGTCGGCACCGCGCATTCCGCCTCTCGCGCATCGCGCGCATCTCGCGCATCCACCTCCTCCTTCTCTTCCTCCTGCTCCTGCTCCTGCTCCTCCTCCTCCTCCTCCTCCTCCTCCTGCTCCTCTTCCTACTTCTCTTTCTCCTCCTCCTCCTCCTCCTCCTCCTCCTCCTCCTCCTCCTCTTCCGCTTCCTCCTCCTTCTCCTTCTCCTTCTCCTCCTCGTCCTCCTCCTCCTGCTCCCATTTGTCTTCCTCTTCCGCCGTGCTTCACTCTTTCTTGCTTCATTCATCGCCTTTCCGTTCTTATTATTCTTCGCCTCGTCGTCATGGATGGAAGGGGGGAATGGATGCAGATAGAAGGAAGACGAAGATAATCAATGATGGCGCCAAGCTCGAAGCCGGAACCGCCACCAGCCTCATACTTCGTGGACGGGGAGAAGAGCAGAGGGCGAGCAGGAGGGACGAGGAGGACTTGGCAAGAGGAGGCGGGGAGGGGAGCGACGAGGCGAGCCGGGGAGAGGGCGCACAACACGGACAAGCGACGTCCTGATTTGTTCAACACGGCAGGGGAATGGGACAACGAACTTGCGGAAAAGGAATCCAAGGTCTGCAAGCAGGTGGAGCTCAAACCGCGGATCGGCCATGGATACCACCGCCGCCCTCATCAGATAAGGAACCTCCCAGGGTCCGCAGCCTCCTGGGCACATTCCTTCACCCTGCCCCCGCTGTACGCGGTCCCTGGAAGTACCGACTCTCTCCACGGGACCGGCTCTTCATCCAGAGCCATGTTCTAGCTGCCCCGAGGTCCCGCGAGGGGCCCCTAGAGGTCGAACACGGCGAACGCCTCCCATCCTGATTTTTTGCACGGCGCGGGCATAATCATCATCATCATCATCATCATCATCATCATCATCATCATCATCATCATCATCATCATCATCATCATCATCATCATCATCATCATCATCATCCTCTCATCATCATCATCATCATCATCATCATCATCATCATCATCATCATCATCATCATCATCATCATCATCATCATCATCATCATCATCATCATCATCATCATCATCATCATCATCATCATCATCATCATCATCATCCTGCTTCTCCTCCTCCACCGCCTCCGCCTCCTCCTCCTCCTCCTCCTCCTCCTCCTTCTCCTCCTCCGCCTCCGCCTCCTCCTGCGTCTCCTCCTCCTCCGCCTCCTCCTCCGCCTCCTCCTCCTCCGCCTCCTCCTCCTCCTCCTCTCGAGGGAGGAGGAGGAGGAGGCCTCCTCGCTCGCTCCCTCGACGGAGCACCCCCTTCCCCCCCCCCCCGCGCCTGGCGTAGCATCCTGCAGACCGCAGCGCCAGCGCGCCCAGGTTCCTGCGGAGAGGGGGATGGGGGGGGGTGGCCGGAGGCGGAGGAGGAGGGGGCGGAGGAGAGAAGGGAGCGGAGGAGGAGGAGGAGGAGGAGGAGGAGGAGGAAGAAGAGGTAGAGGAGGAGGAGGAGGAGGAGGAGGAGAGGAGAATGAAGAGGAGGAGGAGGAGGAGGAGGAGGAGGAGGAGGAGGAAGAGGGAGAGGACGAGGAGGAGGAGGACGAGGAGGAAGAGGAGGAAGGCAAGTGTAAACCCAAGACTCATCAACGATATTACAGTCAACTCTCCCTCCAAGTTTCCTCGTCTGAGGTCCGAGTAGGGGTTAATTTTCACTGAGGGGGTGGCCCGGTTGGAAGATGACCGTTTGAAATCCCACGGCACCATTCCTGGGACTTCAACGCCGTGAATCACCGTTTCTGTTGCGTGTTGACGATCCTGAGTCGCGAAGGAACACCATTCCATGGACTTCAACACAAGGAACCATCGTTACTGTTGCGCCCTGTCAGTCCGACATCATGCCAAAACACCAAATCTTGGACAGTGGCCGTGGAGATCCTTGAAACTGCTGCAAACTCTTAACGCGGCGAAAAAGCGAGAACCACACATTGAAGTGGAACCGCCCTCCAGCCATGAAACTCTTGCAATGTTCAAAACGAATGTGCGCGGCGCCGAAGCGAGAATCGCATTTTGAAAACCACCCGACCTCCATCCGCTCCAAATCAAGTTTCAAGATCTCACATGGTGAAGAATTCTCAGACGAAATGTTCGGTCCGCCCTTTTCGACCGGCCTCTGGGAGCGAAAGGGAAGAGTTATTAAAAGGAAGAGGAGTGGAGCAGGAACACCCTGACATGACATCCTCGAGCCGTGGAAGACGCAATGGCGGCGCGTTTCTAATAATTGTCGGCATCTGTGGATCTACCCCGGGATCATCAAAAAACTGACTCAAGACGAAAAGCCATACCCCAGGGAAGGGATCCAGACCTTTGGGGAGCTGAGTCTTTGCAACTTCGAATGTCTGGGGAAGCAGGACAAGTCAGAATCGAATCGGGAACAAACGAATTGAATAGATGTGTGCGTCGGACCTGGCCGTCTCGACACGGAGTCAAACTCGAATCGGATCAGCTGAGCAAGGATGCGCAGCATCGGCCATGCCAATACCGAGTCGAACCGGATCGCCGCGGGATATCGGAATCGGCTCGGGCCTGGCCAGAATCGATATCGGATCGGATCGAATGGTGCCTGGAAGGAGGCAAGCTATTATAGGCACGCTCGCGCCATGTCTGACATACTTCTGTCTTCCGAGCGCCCCAACCTGCATGGCGGGAAGTGACTGTCAAATTTTGAGCAGGGACCGACCGTCCCGGCATTCCTATAAGCCTATCACGGCATGTTCTTAGAACCCGAAGCTGTTCTAAAAACATAGCAAGGTTCTTAGAACACAACCCCGAAGTGTTAAAACAAGACAGTCTCAACCAGAAATGTTCCAAACAAATTTTGGGCAGACAAAAGGTTCTTAGAACATGCTTCGGTTGGCCTACAGGCAAGCCTGGACGCTTGGCCACTGCTTGAAAAGCGACCCTGGGGCGGCCGGGACTCGAGGATCCGGCCAGCCCCTGCCGGCGTCGGAGGCGTAAGGCAGGAACTGGCGGCGGAAGCGGGGGGGGGCCGAGGAGGAGGAGGAGGTCGTTGCGCCGCGCGGCGGGTAGTGTAGAACGACGAAGAGGTCAAGGCTAAAGAGCAACTTAGGCACTAGCTTGTTGCTGCTGGGAGAACTGCTGGGGCGGATGATCAAAGAATCGCAAGGGCGACGACGACGGCCACGGACAGGCCTGTAACACGAATGACTAAACATAGAGCGCTGCTGCGTGCCCCCCCAGCACCTCTTGATCGTCATCCCAACTGGCTCCAACTTGGGATGAGAGAAAGCGGCTTGGAAACATGAACTTCTAGAGGTTCGCGCGAACTTGTTGGATCTGCGCTGGATCCCCTCTGACGGCGCCTCTGGCGCTGCCCCTGGTGCGCCAGGGGAGGGGCGGGGTCCTCCGGAAGCTCAGGTTCCGGCAACTTCTATCACCACGGACGGAACACACACACACACTCACACACACAAACACACACACACAAACACGCACGCAGACGCAGACGCACACGCGCACGCGCACGCACGCACGCACGCACGCACGCTCACACGCACGCACGCACGCACGCAGGCACGCACGCACGCACGCAGGCAGGCAGGCAGGCATGCAGGCAGGCAGGCAGGCAGGCAGGCAGGCAGGCAGGCAGGCAGGCAGGCAGGCAGGCACACACACACACACACACGCACGCACGCACGCACGCACGCACGCACGCACGCCCAACGCACACGCGCGCCCACCGACCCACACACACACACATTACATTACACACCACACACGACACACACAAACACACCACCACCACACACACACCACACGCGACGTACATACACAGACGCAAAACACAGACACACAGACACACACAACACACAACACACACACACAACACACACACGCACGCACACACACACACACACACCCACACACGCACACACACGCGCGCACAACACACACTTTTCCATCGTCGGCGGCAGATCAATGGTTCCGGCAAAAGAAGCAAAATGAACGCGATTAGGGCAACACGCACCACAACACACAACACACGACACACACACACACACACATGTCTGTGCACTCCACTTCCTCGTCCCAAGTACCACCACTTTGTTTTTCTCTCTCCTCTGCGGCGCCTAGCCCCGCCTCCTGAGGCACCGATCGCGCCCCTCCACGACTGCTTTGTCTCTTACGTCACGTGCGCGGGCTCCGCGCGCGCCGCCGCGGGCCGCTCCGCCGCCCGTGGCCAGTCTCGGACGCGCACAGCACCCCTACTGAAGCACACAGCACGGCCCCCCACGCGCCAACCTGTAAGCGCCCACAGACCTGCGATGGGCCCCCACCCCGCAAACCGCACGCGCCGCCAGTACGTAAAGCGTCGCGCCCGGTCCGACCGCCGCGCACACAGCGCTATGCGCCGCCGCCAGCACGCCTGGCCGCGGCGGGCCTCGGCGGCCGCGCCTGCTGCCGCGCGCAGGCCCGCGGCCACCGCCAGGCCGCCCGGCTCTCCGTGCTGCCGGGCGCTGCCGCGCGGGCGGCGGGGGCCCAGCGCTGCCTTCTTCGTCTTCTCCCTCTCCTTCCTCCGCGGCGACGCGTCGGCGGGGAGAGGCGCGAGCGGCGGGCGCTCCAGCAGCTCCCCCAGGCCCGTGCCAGCAGCTGTGCCGTGGCCGCCCGTTGTTGGCGCCCGCGCCCCGGGCTGTGGGCGCTCCAGCGGCTCTCCAGCGTCGGCGTCCTCAGCAGCGTCACCTTGCTCAGACGCGCCAGGCGGCCTGGCAGCCAGCGCGGGGGCTGGCCAGCGCTCCAGCCGCTCGGCGAGGTGGCCTGCGCTGGCCGCGCAGCCGCTGGGGCGGGCGGCAACCGGCGCCGCGGCCCGCGGGCGCTCCAGCGGCTCCCCGAGGTCGTCCCCGCCGCCTCGGGGAGCAGCCGGCGGGCGCTCAAGCCGCTCCCCGAGGTCCCCGTCGGCATCGGCTGCACGGCTGGCCCGCGCGGGCTGCGGGTACTCCGCGCCGCTCGGGCCAGCGCCGTCGTCGCTGCGCAGGGCGTCGGCTGCAGCCAGGGCGACGGCCTGGCGCCCACCGCGCTCGGCGGCGGGCGCCTCGGGTTCGCTGCGCGCCTCGCCGCCGCCGCCCGGCGCGGCCAGCGCGGGCGCCTTCAGCAGCGAGGCCAGCCCTCCCCCTGCCGCGGTGCTGCGGGCTGCCGATGGAGGCGGCCCCGTCGGCAGGCCCCTCGCGGCCGCGGGCGCCAAGCGGTCCTGAGGCGGCGGCTCTGGCAGCCCCGCCGCCTGCGCCACTGCGCTCTCGGCAGCCGCCGAGGCCTGCGCGACGTCTTCGGCCAGGGAGAAGATGCGCCCCAGCATGGCCGTGGCGCCCAGCGCCATCGGCACGAAGAAGCCGCGCGCGACGAGCGGGCACAGCGCCCTGCACGCGTGCTGCGCAGCGCTCCGCAGGCCGACGGCGAGCGCGGCCACCTCCCGCAGCGCTGCCACCAGGGCCGAGGCCTCCTCCTCGGGCCCCGGAGCACCGGTCGCCACCGCGGGCGGCAGCGGCGGCAGGCCGGCACAGGCGGCGAGCAGCGCCTCGGCCGCCTGGACCGCCGCGTCCAGGCGCGTGAGGTGGGCGTGGCGGCGGTGCTGGTGCTTGCTCTTCTCGGCTGCGCGTCGGTGCGACCCCCAGAGAAGCAGCCGACGTCTTGTCGGAAGCCAGAACGTATACGTTACCTGTGGCGGGCTGTTTTTCTATCCCGGGACTTTTTTGAGGTGATGGTCGGGGACGACGTGGGGATGGTGCGGTGGATACGTGGTTCCCCGCTTTCCAGTGGAAACACGGAAAAATGTAGTCACCAGGATCCCGCGTACACCAGGAACCGCTTTCCTGTGCGAATTGCAATGCAGGGCCAGAAGAAGCGTCGGTGTATGGAGTTCGTTTCCCTACATCTTGATTATTTCAGTACGGGATCCTCAGAAGTCTCGACCCACTCCCGGGTGGATCGGCTTTTCACGCCCTGAGTCGTTCTGTTGACGGCGGTCCTGGGGCCTGGGGAGGGTATCTAGAGGCTGAAAGCGGCGAAGCCACGATCAGGTCGGGCCTGTCCCCCTGCAGGCCGCTTTTCGAGGGAAAATATGGAAAGATAGTAAAACATACCCCGCAATGGTCAACACATACTTTGACAAAAAATAGCCCCTCTATCATTTTTTAACTATCTTTGAATTTTTCCTCCTGTAGAGGGACCCGCCCGACTTAAACCTGCGTCGGATCTCTGGGCCCCTGGCAGGAGTCACCCCCGGGCGCGCGGCCTTGCCCACGGGGCCGCCGAGCGAAGGGGGAGGACGGATCTCCGAGCGCGCGGGGAGGGTGCTGCAGGGCGGTGCTCCCGCGG